CAATGCATGAGTGGATATAAATTGACTGTCTACAAGCAGTCAGTTAATAACTTGCTTCTGCTGGGAAACTGAAACATATTTAGGTACAGTAATATATAAAAAAACATTCTGTTCTCCTCTGCTAAAGCCATTAAATTGTAAACTGCATCTCAGATATTGATATGTCATAAAGGCATGCTCAAAACAAATTGACAAATTGCAACGCATTACATTTTGGAAGGGTTCGTTTGTTCACTTGGCTACACTAAAGAACTGGACTTTCCAAAACTTAATATTAACCCTAGGTATTTCGTTAACACTAAGTAGTACTACAAGGCCAAACTAAGACTCCTTGAGGTCCTTAGTGTGCAAAAATTACTTATTGTACATTCATAATTACGTGATCACAATCCCATTTCTGACGTTTGCTCAGGCAAACCATCTGGATAACAGTGAAACTCTGAATACTTTCATGCCTCTTTTGTCCCAAGCTTCCTGCTGAGTCAAGAGTATGTGGCTTTATGTGTATTGGGGCATGAAGCAGTGCTTGTACTTTCTGAAACGTAATATCCTACCTTTTTACCTAAACTGCAATTTATGAGCCATAAAAAACAGGCAAGAATATCCAAATGACTACAATGTTTTCAGCACAATTCCATAAAGGCCATGTGCTACTATCCAGGCACAACAGTGAAATACAGCACTTTAAAAAAGGTTTTGGAAGTTGTTTTCAAAGGGAATTTCACACATACATTTTTTGTTCCTAAGCAGCCTGGGCTTCTCACAGAAGGACATGAGAAAAATATTTTTTACACGCTTGGTTAAATCTGACGCATACAAAAGGATAAGTATCATGGGCTTTGATTTAGGTTTCTGAGGCTAACATAATTCCCAATTTTAAACTCTCAATAAATCTGCTCACAAATCCCACTGAATGACAACCCCTTTGATTCAGCATTTCAGTCAATCTAACGCAAGTCATCTTGTATTAAGAAATAAACAGGGGCACCGGTTACAGCTGTGTGCTGCATTCTAACTCAGTTCTCTTGGCAGATTTTGTGAAGTATGACAATCAATATTCTGAACTGTGAATCTTCCAGTGACATGCTAAATGTCTGTAAATTAACTGTGTGTATCAGCCTATGACATTTACTGTATACATACAAAATTTGTAAAAAGAAAAAAAATTAAAAGATGTAAAAAGTGTTGACTATGTAAATGTGTATTTAAGAGATATGAATGTATATGCTATCATTTAGGTTTTGATTCTAAGAACATGCACAAATATACAGTTAAGCTTAGTGTAACATGCAGTATCATTATGTAGTCATTACAGTCTCTTTAAGTAATATTTTTAAAGAAAAGCTGGACTTATAGCTTTGACCTCTTCATTGATAACAATCTCTCCAGACATGATTGATCTGGTCTCTCCTTCACCTTGAATGAACATGCTTTCTTTACAAACACTGCAGAATGGGCTGGCCTCCATTTTAATTCTCAGCTCTCATATAACCAGATACTGCACTCACATACAAATGAGAACTAAGAAGGATACAGTAAGAAAACAGAGAAATGTTTATCACAATTAAAATATTTACACAGAATCACAATTCAGTTAAAAAAGACTGACAGTAATGTATTTTTCATAAGGTGTATTTTGGGATATAATACTCTGTTGATTCCATTTTAAATAAAACAGTTATGCACCAGAATTATTTTTTTCAGAATTTGAAAGGGGTAGTTCCTTCACAGATGTCGTTTCAGGATAATAGCTAACACCTGGTAGTATAATAATTCATCTTCAAACATTGAATACTTATGACTACTTTGTTTTAAAACTAATTGGAATGTGAAGCAGATTACTTAAAAAGCAATTACAAAACATTTCAGCTAATTTAACAAGTCTTACCAAATGGTGCAAAGATTCCAGTTAAAATTCCCATTTAAAAGTCTTGCCACAGTCTCAGTATTTTTCAGAAAAGGATATAAAACTGCAAAGGACCAAAAAGCTTTCCAAACCAAGTGATAATGTAAAGTGGAAGGGATAAAAACTTCATATTACTGTATGGATTACACAGACACTTAATTCACATTCACAAGAGTATTACTAACCTTTAGAACCTTTAGGGTTTAGAATGAATTAAATGCAGTATTTCACACACTGGGTCTAAACCATTATAGCAGGATGGTGAAATATATTTTAAATCTAGGCAATATTTGATGCAGACCTTTTAAAAACCTTGCAACTATTTTGCAAAAGCATATGGAAATCTCTGCAAACTGAAACGCACTGTGGCATTTACTTATGGATTTTCTCCAAAACACATCAACATGATCACCAAACAAACCAGGAGTTTTCCTCCCCTGTGCCCTGACAGATGATATTTACTTGTCAAGGTCTGCTGACAGCAGAAATGCACCACCTTTACCTGCTCCACACAGTGTGCTCTCAATTGCCAATAGCTTACGTACAGGGTACCGTGCATAGCTCTAACTAACCAACTTAAAAGAATAATGGAGTCTTAATGATCACAGCATGACAGCTGTACTGTACAGAGAAAATGTCCAGTAACCTTGTAAGTAATGGCTCAATGCCAAACTGAACAGCTACTCAACTGGCATCAATACCGATGTGTACTGTACTTAATGTATTTGCAGATCAAAGCCACTGCACTCATTAATTTTCTAACTGTCATCTGTAGAAAAAGCAGGGAGGTAATACTCAAACCAGATGGAACAGCAACAGCACATAGAGGAACTAACAGCTTGCACCTAAGTGTTTGCAGCCACACTAATTATAAAGAAACATTTTGTCACGTTACTATATTCCTAATCCAGAGTTAGTTCTGATTAATATAAATGCAAGACATCAATATATATTTCTAAATGTATATTTGAAAACTATATTTCTAAATTTTTGTAATATTACTCCTCAGCAGCAAGACTATGGAATTCACTTGGCATTTACTAATGAACTTGAAAATCCATTTTCTTTTCGTTTTTTCTAAAGATACTAAAGAATCCTGTTTCAAGTCCTGCTTGCTGATACTGTTTTAGGTCTTGGCGGGCTATAATTTCTTCTGTTACTACTTAAGCTGCAATGAAAGACACTTTCTTTTTTCAATCCATTTTCTTTTCATTTTCTCTAAAGATACTAAAGAAACCTGTTTCAAGTCCTGCTTGCTGATACTATTTTAGGTCATAAAAATAGTAATTTCTTCTGTTCCTGCTTAAGCTGCAATGAAAATTATTTATACACTGCAGCACTTTAAAGTACAGCTCTTTTGCATGCTTCAATGAACAGTTTATTGCTTAACATCATATCGTAAGTAGAGAAGGAGAGATGCATAAATACATAAGTCATACAATAACCTTCTACCAAAGCTTGTGAATAATTGGTGAAAAAGACTACTCTGTTTAGATAAAATGACTCATTATGGAGGGACATTTTCCCTCAAGCAGGTGTCGTGAGAAAATGTTCATCATTACACCCTTCATAGATTTTATGTTCGCCTATTTGATTAAAAAAATAAACCTGACATACAGCACAGCTGATAATGGGTACTTTCTTGGGTTTAACATGTTGACTGTCTGTGAAATAGGTGAGTCTATAAATAAATGAAATATAATTTCACAGCAGTCTGCAAGAAATGACTTTTTTTGGATATAACTGATTAGCAATCACTTTTTCTTGAATGTTAAAAATATACAAGGGGCAAATCCCACAGCTGTTAAAGCAAATTATGTGAATATAAAAAAAAACAGTTCTTTGTTGAACACCCTATATGCAGAAGCACACAGGAACTGTACAGTGCCTTGTGACTGTAGCCAGACCCTTCCTCTGGAGTCCCATTTTAAAAAATCATAAAATAATGCAGTTTTTAAAAAAGTTATTCAAAACCTGAAAGCTCAAAATAAAGAATTCTAAGGGTAGTAAATGTTAACAACAACTAATGAGAAAAAAACAAATATGTTGATTACATAAGTATTCAGACTTGATATCTGGTGGGAGAGTTCTCTGGCAGAAATGTATAGCCACAAGTGTTTCTGGGTAAGTTCTACCAGTTGTGGTGCAATTTTTGCCTGTTTTTCTTGGCAGATTTTCTTGAGTTGCTTGGGGATCGCTTATCGACAGCAGTTTTTAATCCTTTCCACACATTCTCAATAGGATTCAAGTCAGGACTTTGACTCGGCCACTCAAGGACATCTACTTGCTTATTCTTAAGCCATTCCAGTGCTTTGGGTCATTGTCCTGCTTAAAGCTGAATTTCTGTCCCAGTATGAACAGATAGGTATGAAGCAGAGTTTCCTCTAGCATTTGCCAATACTTTGCTCCATATACGTTCTCGTCAGTCTTTGACAAGCTTCCAAGTTCCAGGTGATGAGAAGCAGATCTATAACATAATGGTGTGAGTGACTGATGCACTATGTTGGATCACAGGTGGCTTTACAGTGGTATCCTTAACCTGACAACACCTTGCTCAGAGTTATTAAAGGTCTTTGATTTTTTTCCATCTTCTCCCTAATCTGTGGCTTTATATAACTGTATCCCAGAGTTGTTTTGAAAGCTTCATGGTTTTCATGGTTCAAACTTTAATTGAAATTCACTACCTTACTGAAGAACCTTACAGGAACAAATGCATGTATTCTGAAATCATGCAGATGACTATTGATTATAATAAGAATTAATTTTGTGTACTAAATTTAGGTTTGCCACAGTAAAGAGTTTGCATATTTATGCAATCATGACTGCTCCATTTTTCCTTCATATTAATTCCTTTTTTGTTTTGAATCTCTGAAGTAGGTTGTGTACATATCAAATACTAATTGCTACGTCAAAGTGCCTTGACTTCAGCTTTAAAGCAACAATATGAAAACTGAGCAAGGCTCTGAATACTTTAGCAAGGCAGTATACACACACAAATGTGAAAACGAAGCAGCTGTCCTCGCTTGTCAGTGAAGTCTGGCTTGAATTGCATTGCCCAAAAGCTTAAAATGAAAAAGGAAAAAAAAAAACTTACTCTTTGCTTTCATCAGCAGAGTCTGAACTGAAAACATTACTGCGGGAGCTGAAACAGGAAAGAGTGTTTTGTGAGAAAAAAAGATATTCAACAACATTTAATATAACGCCATTTAGGCTTACATCATTAAAGAAGGACGAGAGTAATGGAGTGTGCTCGTCTGTCATAATGGCTGTTAATCTGTCAGTGTGATATCTATAAAGCACTCGACAGAGCTTGAATAAATCTGCATAACTCAGGTTATCTCTGGAGCACAAAGTATCATACTGTGACTTGAGTCCCAAATCATAATAGAATTAATCCAGTTAAGACAATGCACAGTGGAATGGCAACCTGAAGTGGTAAAACCATCAGTTATGCATTTAATAACTTTCATATGTGAACCATTTTCAGTACTGGAAAGCAGTAGATGCATTTATATCAGTTCAATCTCAAAAAGGTCTTCTTAATGTTTACAGCTTACTAAATATTTCAGATTTCCTCATTTCTTAAGTTGTGGAGTTTTATGTTTAAGCATTTTAGAAAAAATAAAACTATATTCAACTTGTACTTCTTTTTGATATACATATTTAGGATCACAAGATCTTTATGAATCCGCTGTCTTTCAACATGCCAAAACTAAATACGTGTTGATTATTAAGGAAGATTTTCAGTGAAGACATGAAATTATACAAGAGCCTATAAATTGAAAGATGCAGAGTTTAATTAAAAACAGCATCAAGTACATTATAGACTTCAAGTGTTCTCATCTTGTTTGAAGATGCTCATCTGAGAAAAAAAAATGAAGATCCTAGACATTTGACCTCAAACACAATGCTCAGAGATTCAGTCTAAATCTTCAGTATTTTCTATTAAGTTTAGATGGTCACGCTCAAGGTTCTGCACTGCTGGAACTGTGTGGGAAGTGTTTTCCAAGTAAAGTAGGCATATATACAATACATACAGTATATTATATACAGAGACTATCATAAGTATTCACCTCCTTGGACGTTTTACAAAATTGGACTTGAACAAAATTCTACTACAATAAAAACATTACTTGTGTAGCACCTCGGTTTAAGTATTATCCTAAGTATAGACAAACCATTGATGTGCTGTAATTCTACAATAATACCGGAAATTTTTAATAGTTTTATCATGTCATCTACGTCAATATAAAGAGTTGTTTAAATTTCATAGGGATTATTACCAAATCATTATTCCAGTGTATTCGAAATGGAGGGGGTAGGTTTAGTTTTGTTATTTTCTTTACGTCACATAAAACCAGAATTATTACATTCCTGAACTTTTGCACGTAACTGGAAGGGACCTTGACTTTCAGTGGTATTTTGGATGTTTTCCTTTTTTGTGGTGTAACCCCAGAGTAAAAGGATTAAAAAGCAAAAAAAACGTTAAGGTCACCTTTCAAATCTCTACAAGTATGGAGCAAAAACATTTTTCAGGGTTGAACAATGCTGAAACTAGTGCTAAAAATGACCTTCTCTAACATATATCCCTTCTAACTTTAAACTTTAAATTTCATTTTTTTGCTAGAAGACAACCAAGAATACCAAGCATTGATAGCAAATGGTAGTAAGTAGCCTTACTTTCAAATTGCAAAAGATGCACAACTATCTGAGAAAAACCTTCCTTACACTGTGTGATGTACTGCATTGTCTTAAGGTCTTAAATATGAATGATTTATAAATTGTGATTCATCAACACACTCAGTTCACAGTAAACTGGCCTTACCATATGTTTAACCTTATTGAGCATTCCCATTTAGTGGAGACAATTCTCTCTCAGTTAACACCAAAATGATCTCTAAATGACCCCCACGGAGAATTTTTACTTTCCAACTTTAGTCTACACATTAAAACCACAAAAACCTTTCCTGAATATTGCTGTCACACCTATAGAGGCTTACGCAGGACAGGTGACCAATTGATTTCTCGTACCTGAACCAGAGAAATATTGTTCAGAAAATGATGCTTCAGATGGAATGCCACATCCAGATATTAGATTCTCAGTATTCATATAGGAGCTCTCTCCGGGAGTTCTGATGAATCTGGTGTTAGTTTTCAAGACTTGGCTTTGCCATCAAGAAGGTATGCCTGCCTGAGTATACTGTTTGAAAAGCGATTACAGAACTGGGTGCCTTTAATGAAACACACAAGGAAACAAAAACTAGCTCTACAACAACGGGAGTAAGGAAATTACAAGTCTAAGGGTGTACTGCACTGAAATAAGTCAGGCCGAAGCCAGCTATGTGCAGCTCAAAGGTGGCATAAGAAAATTGCATCTGAAACTATAAAGGTAAGGCCCATTACTGTTTGCAATAAGGCAAAAGGAAAATGGATTAGAACTTAAAACAGGTCTGGAATGGGGGTGAATGCCATTCCTAAAAGAAATCCATATTCAAACAAATATATAAGTAAAAATTCATAATTCAGCTTGGCTTTATTCCTTGGTTAAATTAGGATGGTAATAATTCCTGAAATCAAAAGCTTAAACTTAATCTGTATTTATTTTCTCCTAGCTCTTACAAAATATTAGATCACATTACTGAACATATTATGCATCATGTTATTGCATTCTGTAATTCTTCCCCTCCTTTATAACTCCGGAGCAGTGTGACACTTTAGGCTCCAATTTGGCTTTTTTTTAATGAGTGAAACACTGCAATTTTTAAATTCTGAATGAAAACCCTGTCTAGTACCAAGCATCTTGACAGTAAGCTTCACATTTCTGGAAGTCTTTCAGTCTAGTACAAAACATCTTGACAGCAGGCTTCACATTCCTTAAAATTACAATCAACATTCATACCAAAAGATGGAATTTGCATATTTGTTTCAAAATTGCAAAATTGTTGAGTTTCAATTGAAACCAGACTTGGAGATCCTGTACAGCACACCATTCACTTGCTCTGCTTTACCAGAAATTGAAAAGGGCTGTGCCAAGCAATAAATATGCAAGGCAACAACTTAAAAAAGATTTTTGCTTTTGATCAGACCCATAATTTCCTTATTTTGCTTCCAAGTTGAACGAATTACAACCATTACAATAGAATTGTTTATTAATGGCTTTAAGCACTTAAAATTCTGTTTAACTAGAATAAGCCCAATATGTGAGCTACAAATAAAAGCAGGAAACACAAAAAGTGTAATACAGTTAATTCTACTGTTAGGTAGAGGCAGCAGGGCTACTTTGCATTTAAATTCTAATTTGAGTTCTAAAATTGAGACATTGATAAATGTCAATAACAGCTACCAGTGCTATTCATATTTCTTGATGCAAATTACTGATTGAGCCACTATATTAAAAAAAACCTACTTCTCTACATATATATATTTATATAAAAATAAAAACAGACTTATTCCCTTGAGAGAGTTCAAAACCCATATCACAATAATGCAAGTCTGCAGGAATGAGAGGTGCACTAAAAAATGGCACTAATAAATTATGCAGATCTGGTCCAGTTAACATAACTCCCTTTTGATGTAAGACAATACTTGTCAATAGATACAATACTTGTCAAATAAAAGTTTAGCTTTAATGTAAGCCAATGCCCAACTCCTCATGGGCTTGAGCCGTGTTCCTTTGGGCTTTACACTAGTCATATATTTATGTGGACTAGTTTCAAATTATTATAGAAAGCATAAAAAGCATAGGGCCCCGATCCAACAAAAAGAAGAAACAAGAGTTGTGCCACTGGCCTGTGAGTATCTTTGGGCTTCATTTCTCAGTGCAGAAATTATATAGATCAACTTTGTGCAAGGTCCAAAATAGAAATGATGACAGTGCTATACCATTTAGCATTAAAAGCTATACTGTCCAGATAAAAAGTTTTCTTTGAAATGCAGTCAGAAAAGGAAAGTCTTAAGTGCACCATGACCTAAAATGTCTAATTCTGCATCTTCGCATTGAATTTCAACGTAACAAAGATCAACTGGTTCATTGCACACCAACGCAACCAGAGCTGTTACCCAACTCTCTTACATGCTGCATAAAACAAAATCACACAGTGGGTTTTGGGTGTGCACGGGAAAACGGGAACATTCCTTAAAAAAAATTCCCATAACCTAGCAAAGCTACAATCAAAATATCCCTTTACTGGTTTTGTGTGAAATCTCACTGCCAGAGATTCTGCAAATAATCGGTAAATAAGCTCTTTCTTTGAGGACTAACTTTCTTTATCACGTTACCATAATAATTCAAAGTCCTCAAAAGGGAACAAACATTGCATTTTGTTGAGTGATTCTTGCTACCCATGGGAAGGCACTGCTTATTCTCAAATAAGACATAGCATTACATTCATAAACTTTCATCAGAAATAATTAATGGGACTGCTCTCAATTTTATGCCAAGAAACTGAGCTCATTTGTTGATTTTTCTGAAGTGGCCATTACTCACGCTGCCACCTCTAGCCTGTAAATAAAAACTGTTTCATTCATAAATAATACCATTTTGGTGAGATATAGTCAACACCGATTCACTTCTCACTCAGATTATCCGACATTTTCAGCAGTGATAACACCGCCTTGAGGAACACATATACTTGTTCTGTATGATGTATTGTTAGCATTCTTTATGTGAAATCATACAAACTCAGATTTGGAGGCATCTTTCACCAGTGTAAGTTATTTAGCTAAGTGAACAGTGAAATGTCATCTTACCATATTGGGCATCTAAAACAAAGTGAAGGTTATTCTAAAACCTACCATCCACAGTAGTAAAAGCTGTTTTTGTCTCCTTCTGTTTACTAGCATGGCAGTAAATTACCATGACAGACGGCAATACTGTCACAATTGCCCCAGAGTCTCATTTCCATAAACCACAATGCATGGACTAATTTGATGATGCTAAATGGTTTTAACTGGCATGAACACATAGCATATTCTCAACTGATGGCAGTAATAAAACAAGAATGCCCTTTGGAAAACTATTCCACTTTTATGTCTGACAGAATCATTTAAATGCAATGTAGACTGAGCACATATACTGTAACACAAGATAACCGGCAACAAAGGCACAAATATCAGAAAAACGATCAATCTTTTCAGACGCAGGTGCACTGATATTTAATTGAACATACTTGACAGTGTAGCGGGAAAGCAGAAGCCAGGTTGTCTTGTGAACTGTACATAAATGGTTAACAGGGTAATAAAGATAAAGAGAGATGGGGCAATCAATGAGAAATGGGACAATTGTCTGTGGGTTAAATGCAAACATGTATGATCTGAATGACATAGCTGCATTAGAGACCGATGAACACAGATTTGTCATCTTGTGGAAGAGCACACAAAGAGAATGCCCATGGTGATATCATCAGTCATGAGAGCGAGATACACCAGCCTGGTTGGAGCCTCTGGTGGAGTATTAACCTGTCTCTCTGTTGTAAAGCTTAGACGGGATAACTTAGGTGACATCTGGAGAGTAGTCTCCAAGGAGGCAGGAGGGCTCTGAGTGAAGGAAAGAAAAGGCTAGATCTCTTCATAGGTTGGCTCTAAAGGTCAAGTTAATTAAGGGTTAAATTATGTAACTAAGATGTTGGAGAGATTTAAAAAAAAGTGTTTTGTCCTCCAAGACCAAGACTGGGAAGCCCTGCTCTAGGCAAATGCTGAAAAGTTAAGTCTAAAACAATAAAAAGAACAGTACTTTACAAAGTCATAGCCTTTTAAGTTTTGTGTTCGTTTTAGCACAAATATATTTCCTAACAATAAATTACACATAGCATCCTGTACAAGAACACTGACAAATAAGTGGATAATGATTCTACATCTGAAAGTATTTAAAGTGGTATTGAAATATTTATCCAGAGAACAATTTATGATGGTGTCAGAACACAAGTGGTATAACCTAGTATAACATACTTCAAATAAAAAAAACAAACTTGGAAAAAAACATTTTAGACCACGTTTATGATTGTTTTCTAACATTTCTAACTTCTGTTCCTTTCTATGTTTTCCAGTGAAACTCTTGTATAAACTGTATTTCAATATTGAAGATCAAAGAAAAGTACATACTTCAGTGTGTGGCTAAAATTTTCTGTTGTTCTTAAAGGAAGCATTTTAATAAGCACTCATAATGAGGAATTGTTTTCCTTTCAAAAGACATTAAAAAACAAAAATAAACAGCCAACGAATTTTAAGAAATGAGGCAGCACAGTGGGAATGTGGTTAGCGCTCCTGCCTTAAGTCTTCGATTGTGCACTGGGGCACCTTCTGTGAGACGTTTGCATGCTCGCTCCAGCTCTGGGTCTTCCGATTTTCTCCCATTTTCCAAAGACATGCTGGCTATATCACCCTCCTTCCTTAAATGTACCTATGTGAGTGCCACCTGTGAAAGGCTTCTGTCTTTTTGAGTTTCTGTCCCATCTTGTACCTTGCTCCTGGGATAAGCTCCGGGCTGCCATAACCCTTACCGGGTATTATAGGCTTTCTAAAGACGAATGGACAATGGATTTTAGAAATGTTGCTCAACTGCAAAAGCAGAGCAGTTTAAATTCTTTCCTCCTTGTCTTTCAAGTATTCTCATTCATCTATTACTTTCTTAAGATATCTTGAGTGAAGCTGTTTACCTCTTACACATCAATACAACCTACATTACATTATCATGTATACCACATCTATACACACATTACATAAACTAAGAATTCTATTAAAAATGTATGTTATTAAATAGTAACATATTGATATGTGGTTAATAAACAAAAATTGAATGGAGACCAATAGGAAATCATTAAACTTCACTTTTCGCACATATCTTTTTCCATCTTAACTATAACACCTGTTGTAAAAGCAAGAGATGCCATACAAATGAACAGGCTTTAATTGAAAAGGCAAGTTGACAATTTGGAGATCCTAAGCCAGGGAAAACGTGGACTCTGCAAGGTTGTTAAAATAGAAAAATGAAGCAGGTACAGTATTACATTTCTTAAGAGTTATAACAGTTACCATATGTTAAATAATCAGGTAAAAAAATTCTAAAACAGTCACTAAAGGAAAATAAAGTTAAACTCTATTAAATCAAGAGTTTTTGATATGCAACGAAATGTTCATGGATTTCTCCATCTAAGGGAAAAACACTTAAGAGGATATTAATACCAATCACTATTTTCTAAACCCTTCAAAGTAAAAAAAAAACTTTCTAAAAACATTTTAAAAGAACAGGGACTGCTTGAAAAATTATTTGAAATGTTTATTGAGCCTGCACTATACTGAGGGAATAATGTGTAATTTATGACAAGATTTAACAACAGCGACAAAGGCTACCTAAGACAGACAGGGCTTCAGGGCACGCTCTGATGAAGGGCAGAGGTGATTGACAGAGGAAAACAAATTGATTGGAGGATTCTGAACGACCATAATGTGAACAAAGCATAATTAGTTGTGGCCTCGACATAGCTCAGTGTTTCAAAGGAGTTAAAATTGTTTTGGAGAAAGGACTGCCACTATATCATTAGTTATTTCAAGGTCTCTTGGATATCCCCTAAGGTACTGTATGTTTGGTTAAGGTCCATGCCACTACAACTAGTCCATTTATTTTATTCAGATGACACATAAAATCTAGGTCCTAACTCTCCCTGGTCAATGAGAACGGTTGTTCACCCCGGCATCCTGGCCAGATTTTCCCCAGCTTTTACCAATCTAATAATCTCCATCTATGAATTGGCTTCATTACTCTATTGTCCTCCCCACTGAGAGCTGATGTGTGGCGAGCGCATTGGTGCACTTTGGCTGCTGTCACATCGGGCAGGTAATTAAACTGTAATGTGCTGTGAGTGGAATATCCAGAATAGTGCTTTATAAGTGTGATGATGATTTTATTGATATCAAAACTAGCACAATTATCTTATCTTTATAGGCTGATTTTGTGTTTCAATGTTAATGCTCATTGTACTAAAAGCTACAGCACTTGAAAGAAAACAAAGCCTTATGTAAGTGTAGGCAATTATTATTATTATTATTATTATTACATTTCACTTTGATCTTCTCTCTGTAACCCTTTAGACTGGTGTGGTAGATGTATTCATGTAAGTCTTATGTGCTTTTCACACAAATGTTTACATATTGATAATTAGACACTTGACACTCCATAATTTCTTATAGCCTCAGGCGCCTGTTAAAAAATACCATATGAAAAGTCTCAGAAATGGAAAGTTCAGGCAACCAAAGAATCAATCAGTGCTACATTACAATAATGTGGAAGCAGCAGTTCACATACTCTCTTAGTATTCTGGATAGTTATGAGCTGACTAAGATGCATTTAGCATTCTTCAGAATCCGTCCCCTCCCTTGATGGTAATCTTTATTATTCAGTGTCCTTTTTAAGCAGTCAAGTTACCACAAAAATCCCAAAGCACATGTCTCACACCCTACCCTAGCTTTCTCAGGCCTGCAATAGGTAAATGCCAAGCCACGGGAAAGAAACTCTGCAGGGCTGTTTATAGTACAAGTCCTCTGCCATCATTTTTAAATATACTAACATCATGATGAATGACCCAACAGGAAAAAAAACAAACTAAAAAACGAACACTTTTCTGATTCCATGATAAATTGCCAGATGACTTAGGACTTGAAACACTCATCTCTGGGTGATTTCACTTCAGAGCAATATTCCTTTCCATCGCATAAATATCCATGAAGAACAGTAAGAAAAACATGGTCACATAAGGATCATTTAATTCGGATCTGTTGAAAACCACAAACATCACAAATAAGTTCCTAAAAATTCCCTAGTATTTTTTTTTACCTGTACACAAGGTTACAGGAGCTTGGGAAAAACAATAAGCCACAGAGGAGAAGCTCAAGTGCTTGGATCAATAAATATCAAATTACTGGGATAAACAGATATAGAAGCTCTGGGTTTCGTGGAAGCTGAATCACTCAAAAGTCTTCCTTGTCTAAGACTTAAAAAATGTGAAGTGTAGAAAATGTAACCTTGGTGTCAACATTCACGATTTCAATGTTAAAATATTTCTACTAAAGGGAAAAAAGTCAAAACCGATTCAGAATTATGAAGCAATAGGTGTCGAATAAAATTGCATTTGAATGCAGAACATACCACCAACATTTCAAATATATAAAACCTATTCCAAGAATTTACCTATATTATGCTTTGACCTGTCAAAGCATAAAAAGTGTAGGCTTGTACAATGTGCTTCACTGAACAACAGAGAACTTGGACATTGAAAAATCCAAACGGAAATAGAAAAAAATCGAGAGGATTACTGATTGTATCGTAAAAACTTGAAACTTTTATCCTGTATTGGAGCAGCTATTCAATTTTATGGCCAGTTAACTTTTTTGAAAATAAAACATGTACTTCTTATATTTAGAACCTTTTTGTATTACTTTATACAAAAGTGCTTTTTGTGCACTTTAAGTGATATTCTAAGCACTTCATTGAACTTTTACACATTCAAACACATTCCATTCAAAGTTAAAAAAATATAGATGCCAGCTACTACTCAGCCAAGTTTCAGGAAACTTTACAAACTGCAGTATAAATCAAAAAGGCCAAACTGCTTCCTACATTTCCCTTAAACTCCAAACCTCTATCGCACTGTTGGTAACAAACCTGTTCAACAGAAACAGACAGCCCCAACACTAAATATTTAGAGACACTTAATATATGCTATGTGTATAGATGTATATAGGGGCAGAGCGGTGGCTCTGTGGCTAAGGATCTGCGCCTATGCCAGGAAGGTTGCTGGTTCAAATCCTGCAGCCAGCAGAAGAATCCTTCTCCGTTGGGCCCCTGAGCAAGGCCCTTAACCCCAACTGCTCCAGGGGCGCTGTACAATAGCTGACCCTGCACTCTGACCCCAGGCTTCTCTCCCTGTCTGTGTGTCTATGTGTCTCACGGAGAGCAAGCTGGGGTATGCGAAAAGACGAATTCCTAATGCAAGTAATTGTATAGGGCTAATAAAGCGATGTTATGTTCTGTTTTGTCCTGTGTTGATCTGACTGGAATACGTATTATGAGTCAGACATACAAAAAACTATTTGGAAGTCTAAAGCATGGTTATATCTTACCTGCTAATGGACACTTCACTGACAGAAGGACTGGGTGGTACAGGAACATGATCTAACGTGACATTATCTTCATGGGAAACTTCAGCTGATTCTACACAGGAAAAAAAAGAGTTCCAAAAAGACCATTCAATACAGAACATGAGTAAAACATTTAAATGAGGCAAAGGCCTACTTGCCTCAAGATCTCTATGTTTTGTGTCAAATAATTTGGGGAAAGCTAGCTTTAGCCAAATATGGACAATATAGATTGCTGATAAAAATAAATTCTGCTTTCATTCAGGCCCAAACAATCCATTTTGCTTGAGTCAGCAAATTTCAGAAATACCGCAGGTCCTCTTTAATACAGTATATACACAAATATTCCCATGTACATGCATGTTCATAAGCATATATAATATTCAGTACAGCCTAAGAATGTGTTTATTTAAATGAATTCAAAAACAAAATACAAAAACCTTCTTGTAAACAGTAATTCACAAGCCACAATTACAGTGTTTCAGGGAAATCTAATCAATCTGTACCAAGGGTTAAAAAAAAAACAGCGATGCAATATAAACTTCAGAGAATGAAGGAGGGAGAAATAAAAAGGGGCTTCCAATAAGAGCTGCTAGACAGAGGGGTGATGATGCAGTAAACTTAAAACCCAATTCTGAAGCTGCTGTTTTAGCTCTGGTGAAATATTATGCATTTTAGACTGCAATGCAGACTATTAATAAGAAATATTACCAGCTTTAAATAAAGAGTTATGCATGAGTGTGCTTTGTTATTCAATCCCTTTATGGTTAGTGAAGTTTTAACATTATTTGTGATACTGAAAATGACTGTTAGCCACTGTTGAATGATGGCAGCCTCACAGATCTTCCATATCGATTACATATTTATGGCTCTTGGTATGGACTGTCACAGTACAGTGTTGTATAGTGTAATAGCAGTTCTGGACATGGACCATAGAGTCTGTATGTTCTCCCAGTGTCTGCAAGGGTTTTTTTCTGAGTGCTCCGGTTTTCTCCAACAGTCCAAAGATATACTTTTAGAACTGGCTTCTGTGAAAATGGACCCTAATGCAATGTGTGTTTGACTGTGTGTACCCTGTGAAGGACTGGCGCCCGGTCCTGGGTGTACTCTGCCCTGTGGCGAAATACTGTTCTGAAGGTAATTCCCCTGCCTGTACCTGTAGAGCATTCCCTTTCGTGATCCGTTTCCTCCTCTGGCTCCTGTTTCACCTGCTTTTTCTTACAGCGCCCTCTCACCTGTGCAATAAGTTGAGAGAACTCATCCTTGTGCTGTTTCCCTGCAACAAATCACAGCCACAACGCATTGATTACTCATAATAGATGCATGACATCAAATTCACGGTCTTTTCAATAGGCACTTTAATTAAATTTACAAGGGTAAAGAAAGTAAGGTGTTTTTTGTGAGATAAGGGGATGCAAAGCGATGCTTTTAATCTCTCATGCTTTTAAGCATTCATTTCTCATTTATGCAGCCCTGTCCAAAAAAAGTATGAAACCACAACCATATTTTCTATACCCATTTATAAATGTTTAGTGCATTCATTACCAACACAGCTTCCAAAAAATCTCATTACAGTCCACCTACCATTTCATACATAATAAATTCAATTATATTATTAATTATGAATTATTAATTCAAGTGTTATTAAATATTTGGGGACAATGAGTTTTGTTCTGACAAATGAGTTTGGCAGCTGACAAAACAAAAATTCTTCTGAATCAGTCTGAATCTCCCCTCACAACCTTCACACTACCACTCAGACCACTTTTTTCTGTTATTCCGTCACCTAAATTTAATAAGAGGTAGCCTTTAGTACTAACTACTAAATGCATTAATTGTTCTACAATAAACTATAAATGGCAATGGCACCATTAGGGAATACAACTACATAAATCAGCTACTTGAACAAACACATTACACATAAAACACTGTCATAACACTTGTAAAGATAAAGTAGCAGTGAAAAGGTTTTCTAGGTTGGTAAACTCCAACACCCCACAATAGAGATTCTACATTTGTACAGAACTGAAATGGAAAATAACAATGGCAATGGTTTCACTTATTTATTTCTCTAGACAGAAAAGAATGATTTGCAAGAGCATCATTAGCCACCGACCATAATACAAGCCTGTCAATCCCAAAGACTTGGATCACATGGATTATGTTTACTGAACATCATAAAAATAAGAGCTGCAAAAACAGTCAGAACACAAGAAAAAGCATACTGCCGCCTGCATATTGTCTGCATATTCACACATTCAGACACAGTTCTGGTGCCCAGAAAACAACTGACTTTTGTACAAATTCCTCATTTTGTTTGAATTAACCCAAGAATCTGTACCAAGATTACACCACAAAATAACATACAAAACGTTTAAAACAATCAGAACTAATAACTAAAAAGGTCCGTTTTAAATGTGAGCAAGTGGGCTTTGTTTTTTCCTTATTTCAATTTATCCTGAAAATTGTATCAAGTATTTGCATGTCTTTCTAAAGCTTGGAAGGCAAGGGGGCCAGGAACTATACATCCTAATAGTCATTTAGCATATATACTGTATATACAGCAAACTGACTGGAAAGTGCACCTAACAAACTTTATTGTATATATTGGTTAATATTAATTGTAAATTGATTATTACAGTATGTGTCATACTAAAGCAGTGCAGTTTTTATTTTGCATTCTTAATCTTATTCTAAATAAATCTGGTCACCAAGAAGAAATGTGTGAAGGACCTGTTTAGATAAAGAGATCACCTTGTATTGGTCCCGAATCCCTTAAAGACAGTATGAATTTCTGTAGTACTTTAACATTTTCATCAAGTGCATAATTCCCTTTTTCTGATGCTTTTTCTAGCAGCTGTATGGTGTAAAGATGAGTAGATTATTGAAAATGACAGCATAAACCTATGACTCAAACGCACAAACAGTTCTATATGTTGGGATAAACACAGATACAAAAATAGATTTAGATTAAAGGAAGAAAATGAATGTTTTGTGTTAGATTTGGCAGACCGACATGACTATTAGATTATGTTAGCGGGAATCAAAACAGAAACAAACAGTAACTGAAAACAGTTGTACACAAAAAGCAATATGGAACAGAGCATCCTCTTTGATGATGAAGACAATGTTATTTTCTTAATGTAACAAACATGAAAATGGACATGTGAGTTCATTTGTGAGTTAATCATTCCATTGAATTAAAACCATAACAGAAAATCAGTTTTTAAAAAGATACTTCTATAATGAATATATTCAGAGAAAGAAACGGAAAGAATAATTTTGTCCTAATATATTACATTTTAAAGCATACTATAACTGCAGAGCAAAAACCTTAGACACTACTGTATATGAAAACGTATAGACAACATGACAAATGAGATTTGGATTAAACCTCTGGACATTATATTTTGCAGCTTTAAATTTGTATTATTAATTTTTAGCACAATTCACTTACTAAAATCTTTTGATCAGAACAAAGTCTCTTACAATATATAGCAATACTACAAAAACCATCTCAGCACCAGGTATAAAAAGATGTGAAAACGATGACAGCACAAAGTTGAATTTTATTTCCTTCACAGAATAATCCTTACAATGCTTTACTACATTTGGAACAGGTTCCATCCAAAGCAACGTAGAGCTCTTTCATATTTCTAATTTTCTGTAGTGTACCATTCATCCATTTCCTAACTGCTTCATTCAATTCAGGGTCGCGGGGGAACCGGTTCCTATCTTGGCAAGCAAAGGGTACAAGGAAGGATACACCCTGGATGGGAAGCCAATCCATCACAGGGCACACAGATGCACACACACACCAAGTAAGTTTTCCCAGAAGCCAATTAACCTACGAGTATGTTTTTGGACTGTGGGAGCAAACTGGACCACCCAGTGGAAACCCATGTGAACACATGGAGAACATACAAACTCCATGCAGACAGCGACCACAGGTCTAGGATTGAACACAAGGCCTCAGCGCTGGGAGGCAGCAAAGTAAACCGCTGTGCCACTGGTAGCGCATAGTGTACCATTTTAAATAACACAATAATAATCTGCAATTTTTATAGGATTTTTCATATGGACTTCAAAATCACAAAACGCAAAAACATCTTTTTTATATTCATTTAAAAAAGCACCTTGGAGTTTCTTCCTCTTGTTGCACACGGGAATCTCAAAGATGGAACCTTATACATAAGTCTAATCTAAAAAGATATTGCTGTATGGGAGTCAGTCCCGAGAAAAGCAACCAGGTACCTTCCAGAGTTCAGGGAAGTGTCCTAAACTTACTGGTTGAAGGAAGAGAACCTTTTTAGACTTACACAAGTGCAAACTACATGGAAATGCATTTTCCCCAAAATTTCACATGCTACACACATTGTTGACACCAACACACTGGATTGTTATGAAATATCTGGATTAGATGCTTAGATCAATTAGCTACTAACTACGTAACTACGATAGATCGAATAGCCTCCTCTTGTTTGTAATCATTCTTATGTTCTTTATTTAAACGAACTATGTATGAACTGAAAGACAATACTGCTGTTTTTCCAATCCATGCTTTCAATTATGTGCTTTTTAGTGGTCAGTGTGGAAAGAAAAGCAGCCTTAATGCACTTAAATGGAATGTAACAAAAAATGCGATTATACTGACAAAAATGCGTGATGGTTTTAAGGATTAAAATCATTCCCAAATTACGAACGCTCTGTCCATCTATGAAAACCAAGGGCTTGGTAAGAAGCAACTCCAACCCTGACAAAAATATGCATCTCATTAAACAACTATGGCAGCTACGATGCCGTTAAATAACTGTTGCATCATGAATTCTTGGAAAGCAAATATTTTGACTGGAATAATTAAAAACATTCTTCTATTTTCAGATTGCATTTCTGGGGCAATCTAGGTTCTCTCTGCTCACCTTCATCTGGAACATATTACCTTTTTTTATGTAATGCACTTGTTACAGGACATGCTAGAGGATTACACTTTTATTTTACTTTATAAGCCACAATTCTTCCACTGTGCGTAAATGTTTATAATATTTGTCAAATTCCATCACGTAAAAATACTCTTGGATATTTGGTAATTTCAGCAAAAAACTAAACAAAATCTTTCTTGAAGCCCACATGTTATATTGGAGATGAAATGGCTAATCACAACTACTTCAAATATGCACATGAAACATCCATTTTAAGGTATGAAGTGTACAATCTTTTACTCCTTGTACTTTAGCTTACTGCTCATCCACTGTTATGCACTATTTGGTACTATTTGACACTGCTGCCTCACAGCTTCAGGGTGCCGGGTTCAATTCTATTTTTGAGTACCTTTTTGTATGGAGTGGAAATATTCATATGCTTTTTCCTGTACTTTGATTTTCTGTGCAGGTCAGGTTTGATTGGCTACTTCAGCACATAACACCTAGACCCCAGGATGAAGAAGATATCTGAAAGCTCATTATACAGCCCTCATACCACAGATGGACAGATAATGGTTCTGGTGCTTCTGTGCCTTATGCTTGGATTGGAGTACAAATTCCACTAAAAAAAATATATTTTAATGTTAGCTAGCACCGAACAAAAACATCATTTTGAGCACCCCATTACGGTCAAATCTTTGGTGAAAAATACAGGGATGGTTAACTGCAGCTTTCTAAGGTTATCTGGTGTATGATCTTAAATGCCTAGTTTACAATATATCCAATAAAATATGCAGTCTCTTAAAACCATGATGATTTTCACAACCTGCACCATGTGATGGGGAATTCTATTTTTCAATAGAAGGCAGGACTTGTTGAACATTCTATTCTAATAATTCTGAGGCTTTCTATTGGATTTTTTAAAATTATACAGTGACTCATGCAACACTTGCATTCTTCCACTGTACGCTTCATTAGCAACAAAATCCGACAAGACTGCTTTTGAAATCTTTGTGAAATAGGAAACTTTTTATACGTGAAAAACAAAATCAACAAAAGAGGTTCAAAGAATACGCAGAGAAGAAAAAAAAAAGACATGAGCTGGATTCAAAGAACCAGGACTAAATAATGCTCAATATCAGGTTGGGGCAAATGGGGACTTGAAGAGAAGGTTAAGTTTGTACACAAACTAAGTGGACTAAGTCAAGTGCAGGAACAGCAAGGTCATGAAAGTACAGTTCAGGAAGATGGTGAGGTCAGCAAATGGTTTTTCTGTAAAACTTTTCTAAAACTATATTCCCAAGAGATTTAAGGCATTGCAGAGGCCTTAGATGACATCCCAAGGGCTCTCCGCACG